AAAAGTGGCTTTTCGTTGATAGCGTTTAATTGGAATTAAAAGATTCTTTAGCTGTAAACATTCTTTATTTATTCAGCACACATAAGCAGGCATTGTTTTATCACCATCATAATTATGGTGTCCTTTAAACTGGCTGATAGCAGGAAAGATAAGGGAATTTGCCTGTAGATTCAGATCAGTTTTCACTCCTCTCTTTCTTTCCCTTCCTCCCTCCCTCCCCTCTCTCTCTATACCCTTCCCCCCACCCCCATTCCTTCCTTGGTCACTAGGGTCCCCCACAGCCCTTGAGATGAGGAGGGCAGGAAGATTGTGGCCTAACCATTTCTTACATCATGAAAGAGATTTGTACCACACTCTAATTTAATGCAATGTATAACCTTCTTGTCTCCTGTGTTTATAACTGCTTTTTAGCTTGCAATATATGTTATCTAAAGAGTTGTCTATTGCTCACCTGTATAAAATCTTCTCCACTAGGTTTTGTTGCTTTACCTTTGTCTAATTTAGAAAGTACACTCTTAGGGCTTTTTCAGAACAAAGCCTCACAAAAACCCCTTTACCTCCAAGGATTTGCAAATTTATAAAGCCTGCATTGAATTCAAGATGGGTCAGGGGGCAAAAAAAGGGTAGAAGGTCACTGCATTTTGATTATGGGTCAGTAGACAACATGGCATATACTCTGTGTCCCAAACTTCTGTTAAAAACAGGATTTTAAAATGCCTAAGAACAGAAGGATGGGCCCTTTTGGAGACTTGCCTTGATTTGTTTGGATGAAACAGAAAGAAAAAAATTAAGCAAAATATACTAAATTATAATTTAAGCTGTTCCTTAATTTAGCATTTCTTCCTCCATTCTCATTTCCCCTCCCAAAAAAGTAGAGAACATGTGAAAATAGATAAATTTAGGTGAGGAACTGTTGATTATCACAAGATTTTATTGTCCTATATCCTAAATTAATTCAGCCGTGTGAGCTTTATATTATTATTTTAGATTGTGTTATATGTAAGTGTTATAATTACTTTTGGCTAACAGTACAAGGGGCTTCTTTTATTCTTCTAACCAGTATACTTACATTGTTGAGGCCTTTGTGATGTCCCTTAGTCTTTTCTCTCTGAATTCTCTTTGAACAAAATGTGCCCAGCAATCAGTAAAACAAATGTATATGGTGAAGAGTTAGGTGGTGGTGATGGTGATGTGGGGAGATGATCCTCATTTAAATTATATGTGTATGGGTGAAAGCTTGGAAGGAAAAGGATTATTTTAATGCTCTTCAATACTTTAATTATATGACAGTTGTAGTGTAGAAATGCAAAAGTATTCTTAGGTTTTCCTTCAGGTTTTCAAAAGAACTTTCCCCATTAGTAAACTACTCCTGCAAATTGCTACTGCATTTCCCAGCTAACCATTTAAAAGACTGTAAATGCCGTGTGCATTACTTTGCTCCAGAGGAAAGAGGTCAGACTGAATTGCAATGGTATTTAAACATAAAATACAGTGAAAATAAATCAAAATAGAACATCTGAAGGTAAATTTAGCATATTCATACCGGATAAGTAAAGACAAATATGTTCATACCTTCATAGCCCATCACTTTAAAAACTGAAAGTACTGATTTTTTTTACAACAAATGCAGAAGTAAGTGGACATTAAGAATATACTTCTATCTGTATTTGCCACAGAGGATTTTCCTTTAGCAAGCAGCTTTGTTTTCAAAGCTAAAATACTTTTTATGATAGTGAGTAGATCATGCATTCCTCACTGAGTAAATAATTACATGTAATTAACAAACTCAATGCTTATCATATATATGCCTAAATTCCCAGTAAGTAATTCTCTATACTCTCAGAGACAGATACACACATAATTGTGAATTTGGGCATATCTGCCCACATACGTATATGCATTTGAGAAACCTAGAAATTGATACATCTTTTCTTAAAAAAGAATTTGAATACAGTCCATCATCTGAATTGGGTTCATCTTTGATTGTTGAGGCGGCTGACATGGTCAACAAATTTATCAAAGAAACCCCCTGGCTTTTGAAGAATAGTACTTTATACATCTGGATCTGCACATCCAGGCAAAGTGAGTAAATTATTGCATAACTTTAAGCATAATTGATAACAGACACCTTTAATTTTTCATCCCCATTCTTTTGGCCAGCTTTCACATTAATAATCTAAGCCATAAATGTTGGTAGCTATTGATCGAAATCCCCTGTGTGCATGCAAATCCATCTTAAAGTCCCCTGCCTTTCATGTGTGAGCGCTCAGGGGCCTCTGCTAGATCTTTTTTATCGGGATCGACCCCCAATGTGGCTGGAGAAGACCCCGGATATGCAACGTGTGCTGATGGCCACAAGAAAGCTGTCTGTCACATTCTGTGTATGTGTGTATGTGTGTGTGTGCGCGCGAATGCGCACACTCACGCCTTAACACACACACACACACACAATAATGGGGAAGTTAAAGGAACAAAAGAATGTATTAGACAAAAAGAAAGATATATAATAAAAGTATTAAAAATGTATAAGTGTAAAAGTGTCTGAGTGTACATATAAAGATACTTGCATAAATTGTATATATAGACACATTTCCCAAGTCCTCTGGTCTTTATTTTTCTCTATTTGACCCAATAGATTGGACCTTTAGTTTAAAAAAAAATATGTAATATTCTACTGGTTTTAAGAACCACCTATGTTGCCAGTATTTTAAAGGTGGAAAGAGAGGAAGGAAGAGCAAAAAAAGGTAATTTTGAAAATGTTACTAAATCATGTTGCCATGTGCAGGAGTAGGAGTGTGTGTGTGCGTGCGTGCATGTGTGTGTGTGTGTGTGTGTGTGTAAATCTAAATAGGAATGGAGAACAACTAGAACTACCTGGCCAAAAAAAAAGGACGTTCTAGCCAACCTTTTGTAATGCCTTCTAAAAGGCTTTTTCTGAGTTTACTATTTCTTGGCTGTTGGACTCTTTGGTCAAAATCTCAAAGCTGGAGGAGGGGAACTGGACGGGGGTGGGGTGGGAGGAAGAGAGCTGCCAGTATATAAGTGCATCAGGAGGAATTTTAAAATGACATTATTGTCACTGGAAGTGGAAAGACTCTGGTCATTCTCTTTAAAAAACAAACACCAGCATCTGCTTTTTCTGGAAACTTTGCTTTCTGCTTAAACCTTTTGCATTTTGCCTCCTGTGAAAGTGAAAGAGAAAAACACGGTGTGATAGATCCAGATGCAAAAGAAAGCCAACTCGGTGGATGGTATTAGCTGTGACGAGGCATTGTTCATTGCTGCCTCTCGGTTACGTTTAAAGCCTGAAATATCACGAGATCCATTCAATGATCCTTCTCTCATTCAAGGGACAAAAATGTAATTTGCTGTAGCTCTGATTTCTTGGATGGAAATGCTAGCCTTAGATTTCAAAGGCAAGAACTAGACATCGTGGTTTGTACACACATTGATTAAGTTGAAGAGCGGCGATTACATCTGTGCTGAGTGCAACAGTAGTCCAGGGCTGACTTTTCAAATCCCAACCTCTGAGTTACAGACTCTCTTAAATAGACTTCCTTAATTTCCGGATGTACTTCTTGAAATTCCCAATTCTCTTCAAAATTCCTGGGAAATTACTGGGGAGATGAGGGTGGGGGTGGGGAACTATGGCTGAGATTTCATGCAAAATACCTTTTTGTATGTCTGATTCCTCTGTTTTTATCTTTTTCTTTCTTTCTTTCTTTTGAGCCATACCTGCTTGTGCTAGCCAGACCAGAGCAGGGGAAACTGGAACTTTTGAATGGGAAGGAAGAAATTATTGTACAATTCTTTTCTTGCAGGCTCAGAAATATCCGTTTATTCTTTTAACCACACGGATGTGTCTATTTTTGGAGGAACAAGGAAACATATAAAATGCCTGGGTTGCATTTATACTGTAGTTGCAAACACCGAACAGTTAAGAAGATTTTGCCAAATTTTGCAAAGGAGCCAACAAACCACCTTGGGATCCTGGTAATGCAGCTGGGAAGACCCTTGCTCTCATTTGGCAATATTTTGGATATCCTTGGAAATGATACCAAAATATGCTTTAACTCGACTAAGAAGAGGTTAAACAACGTTGATATTCATCCAAAGTGATTTTTTTTTAAAGCAGATGCTTGGCTTTCATGGAGAAAATGGGAGTTGTGGAAGATTCATTTGAACTACCAACCGAAAGCATCATAGACCACTGAAATAGTCTGCGTCCTACATCAGCACTTTCTTTTCATCGTTATTACGTAAAACCTCTGGAAGCACCTTGGGCGTTTTACATTTTCTTTTCTTTGCTGCAGAAACAATCTGCTCCCTGGAATTCTGACCTGTCGTCAACAGGACCCGGGCAGACCGTGCTGGGGACTCTAGGACGATCCCGCCTCCAATCCAGCCTGGTTAATTGTGAAAAGTGTACACATTTCTGGCTTATCTATGCTTTGTTATGGGTCTGACGTGAAACTACCTCCTCCCCACCCCACCCCCCAGCAGAGAACCAAAATCCAGTCGAATTGTTACAGTGTTTCGGAGCTGAAGCCTTGAACTGCTTCCTTGGTCAAATAACTTTGTTTCTGGTTGTAAAAGGCATTTCAGGAAAAAAAAAAAAAAAAAAGGAAAATCGAGAGAAATTCAAAACGTAAGTCTGTACTGGGGTGGTTCACTGCGCGGGTTTAACTTTGGAGCTCCCAGCCGGTCTCCCTCTCCACTCCCATAAGGGAAATACCAGGCTATTCTGCACATTTTCGCTTAAGCTCCATTTTCCAAAGGAAAAGGGGGTGGGGTATGTCTATTTAGGCTTGATAATGTTTTTAAAATGCTTTTCTTTGAAATGATAATAGCTGCAGCGGTAAAATGCAAATAAAGAAAAAAAATAGGCAATATTCCTTTAAAGGCGAATATACAGGGATTTTTTTTTTTTTTTTTTTTTAAGCGTACACACACTGGTTCAGATGAAGTCTGTGAGTCAGGCTGTTTCTGAGCTCCGATAGTTTAATGGAAAGATTTATATACCGACTGTATTATTTACTTTGGGAGGGGAGGTGGCAGTATAAGGGTATGCTAATTAGTGGGAGATTTTGGGGGGAAGGGGTGGAATATCAATTTTTATTGCATCACCTGTCAGGAGTGTCCAATCAGCGCTGGCTTTAGGGGAATTAATTGATGAAGGTGTCTCCGGACGAGCTCACTTCACTCTGTCATTTTATTTGTAGCTAAACCAGCGGCGGGAATAGCAGCTGCATTTCTTTTCTCTTTCTCCCTTCACATTCCATTATCATAGTGCTCCAATGGAGAAGGAAGGAATAGAGGGGCCCAGGTACTGATCTGCATCGGGGACTTAGACCAACACACTGGCAGATCAGAAACCGGATGGTTTTTTCCCTCTTTTTAAAAAAATACGAAAACCAAAAAAAAAAGCAAGAATCAAGTCAGTGTAATTTCATGGGTTTTTTTTTTTTTTTTCCAATAATTTCGCCTAGAGTTTGGCACTCCCTTCGCCGGGAATAACAGTCTTTGTTATTTTATTAGCAGGATGCCTTGAGACACACGCAGCATCTGGTGGAGGATTAACATACATACATGTGTATGTATGCGTCACGTATATATTTACTGCAAATGGTGGGGATCATTTAGTGCCCGAGATGGGAGACCTGAAGTCAGGTTTTGAAGAGGTGGATGGCGTGAGGCTCGGCTACCTCATCATTAAAGGAAAGCAAATGTTTGCCCTCTCCCAAGTCTTTACGGATCTGCTGAAAAACATCCCGAGGACGACCGTGCACAAGCGCATGGATCATTTGAAAGTGAAAAAGCACCACTGCGATCTGGAGGAGTTGAGGAAACTCAAGGCAATCAACAGCATCGCCTTCCACGCCGCCAAATGCACGCTCATCTCTCGGGAAGACGTGGAAGCTCTCTACACCTCCTGCAAAACCGAGCGTGTCCTCAAGACCAAGCGCAGGAGGGTCGGCCGGGCCCTGGCCACAAAGGCGCCGCCGCCAGAGCGCGCCGCCGCCGCCACCAGCCCCCGCCCGGGTTTTTGGAAGGACAAGCACCAACTTTGGCGGGGCCTGAGCGGAGCCGCGCGGCCCCTGCCAATCAGCGCGCAGTCCCCGCGCCCGGGCGCCGCCGCCGCGCGCCCCGCCGCCCATCTACCTCAGATTTTTAGCAAATACCCGGGCTCGCACTATCCGGAAATCGTGCGCTCGCCTTGCAAACCCCCTCTAAACTATGAAACTGCCCCGCTCCAGGGAAACTACGTTGCTTTCCACTCGGACCCTGCTTATTTTCGGAGCCTGCTGTGCAGCAAGCACCCGGCCGCCGCCGCCGCCGCCGCC